ACACACACACACACACACACACACACACACACACACACACACACACAGGAAGATTTTATAAGAATTAAAGAAAGAAAGGGGGAAAATGCAGTCACTGTGTATATCACTGTTTTAGGTACAAAGACAACCTCAAACCTTAGAAACAAGTTTCTACTTTCTGAAACTATAGTATCTCATTTCTCAAAGAATCGCAGTAAATAATGTTCCTACTAATCTACCCCAATCCTCTTAGAAAGATGTCATGTACTCAGCCTGTGCACCCCCTCAAACAAGAAAGCGAGACTCTTTTTTTCACTAAAAAAGCCCTTTCCAAGCAAGGAAAACGATGTTTCTTTAAGACCTATAGCTGATCATAGTGCTTTTGAAAAAATTCTCAGTCACTTCTCATTCCCTTCAGGATTTAATGTCCAATTTACTGTAGTATGTAAGGCCATCTGTGACTCTTCTCTTACCTATATTAGAACTTTTAACTCTGTTTCCTCTGCCCATTCATTTTTTTTTTAATTAATTTATTATGTATATAGCGTTCTGCCTGCATGTATGCCTATACACCAGAAGAGGGCACCAGATCTCATTGTAGGTGGTTGGGAGCCACCATGTGGTTGCTGGGAATTGAACTCAGGACCTTGGAAGAACAGACAGTGCTCTTAACCTCTAAGCCATCTCTCCAGCCACCACCACCCCTTCTCCACAGCATTTTTTCTTTTCTTTTTGCTTCTTTGAAAATAGGGTTTTTTTGTGTGTCCTGGAACTCACTCTAGACCAGGTTAACCTTGAATGCACAGAGATTCGCCTGCCTCTGCCTCCCAAGTACTCGGATCAAAAGTATGCCTGGCATTACCACTTTAAAAATTTATTTTTTTTCCCTTTTCCTAAAGAAATAGGATGTATTTCAAGATACAGCCCACATAATCTTTAGTCAAGTGAAAACATTACTGAAAATTTTCCTTCTGTTTACTTGTCATATTTAATTGCCTTTTGTTTATGTTGCCATAGATCCTATAACAGTATCCTTACTATAATTTTTTTTTTTTTTTCGTTTCTAAGTCTTCTTCCCTGCCAAATGCTGATGAACTCACTGAAGAAAATGACTGAGTACGCAGTTGTATAGTTTCTGGTTTATTCCAAAAAGGATTAATGTTGACATTTCTACTTTGTGAGGAGGTGGGGTGAGGTATCACCCCATCCCCACACCCAGAGTAAATGAATTAGATCAGAGGAAGAGCAGACCAATTCTAGTGATATATATATATATCACTAGATATATAAATATATATATATATATAAATATATTTCTTTTTTTTTTTTTTTTAAGGTTACTAAAAGGGATGAAGACTCTTCCCTGATGCAGCTAAAGGAGGAATTTCGGAGTTATGAGGCACTACGCAGAGAACATGATGCCCAAATTGTTCATATTGCCATGGAAGCAGGACTTCGTATTTCACCTGAGCAGTGGTCTTCTCTGCTATATGGGGACTTGGCTCATAAATCACACATGCAGTCTATCATTGATAAGGTTTGTAAGATTAGAGGTACTGATTGATTTTATACCCTTTCTGTTTCACAGAATACTGTAGCAGAGACTCCTGTCTGTTTATTACCTATTATGCTCTTCTGAGCTGAAAATTCATGTATCTGACCTAGTGAACATGATAACTTAGCAGCATTGTACACTCTGGGCTTTGTGGATATTGGCTTTTACAGTCATGCTTATGTAGCTCTCTGAGAGCTGTAGCTCAGTGCTATTGTCTCATGATGTGAATACTTCATATCACTCACCCGGGAGCAATTAAATGTAAAATGCTTTTGAAGCATTGTAAAGTTGAAAACTTTTATCTGCATTCTGACCCTAGAGAACTGATAAATGTTTTCTAAGTGTCTAATGATGAATTTCATAGGGCAGATTCTGAGGTGAAAACTTAATTCATCATTGATTGTCCTATTATGAAATCTGAAGACGCTTGAAAACTTTTAAGTAAGGTGATCTATTGGAAAATACTTGAATATAGGTATGTTCTAAAATTCAGAGTAAAAATCATTCTTTTTTTTCTGTTTGTTAGCTGCAGTCTCCAGAATCATTTGCAAAGAGTGTCCAGGAATTGACAATTGTTTTGCAACGAACAGGTGATCCAGCTAATTTAAATAGACTGAGGCCTCATTTAGAGCTTCTTGCAAACATAGACCCTAACCCAGGTATGTGGGAAAATGTGTCAGTGCTTATAATTTATAGAACTTTGAAGTAAAAAGAAAAAGGAAATGACTGTTGATACATTGTCTCCTTCACTCCCACCCCATCCCTTTGGCTTTTAATTTAGATGCTGTTTCACCAACTTGGGAGCAGCTGGAAAATGCAATGGTAGCTGTTAAAACAGTGGTTCATGGTCTTGTGGACTTCATACAAAATTATAGTAGAAAAGGCCATGAGACACCCCAGGTAACTTTATTTATTACACTTCTGATTACTGCTGTGTCTACCACAGCTTCACCGTGAATACTAACAATTTGATTGGCTAATGGACTCCTTCTGTAACCCTTTCCTCTTGAGGTGTGTGTGCAGAGGGGATGTGCATATGGAAGTGCATGTGCAGCTGCACAGGCATTGTACCCAGGGCTTCTACCTCGACGCCCAGTGACACACACGCCCTTCTTGCAAATTTTTACTCTGTACTTCTGGGAGAAACTCACTTCTTACTGTACTTGGTTAACATTTCATTGTATAATGAGGTTAGAGGGTATTTTGGACATAAATTCACTGAGTTACATTATGTTTTTTACTAAGTATAGTTCATTAATTTTTTCCAAACATTTTGTCCAGTTCTTTTTGTAGCTGAAAGTTTTTTTTTTTGTCCTTTGCTATTTCTCAAATGAATTTGTTTTGTAATATATTTAGAATTTGAAATTCCTTAATATTTTTGTAATATTTATTTATTTAGTTAGTTAGTGTAGACGAGTGCAAGTACATCTGCACACCAGAAGAGGGCATCAGATCCCTGTGTAGATGGTTGTGAGCCACCATGTGGTTGCTGGGAATTGAACTCAGGACCTCAGGAAGAGCAGCTGGTGCTCCTAACCTCTGAGCCATCTCTCCAGCCCCCAATTCCTTAATATTTTTAGTGTAATTTAGAAAGGGAAGGTAATCCAGGCACTGTGCCACATGCCTGTAATTCCAGCACTCAGGGAGGCAGAGGCAGGTGGTTCTCTGGATTCCAGGACAGCCTGGTCTACAAAGCGAGTCAAGGACAGCTACACAGAGAATCCCTGTCTCTGTAAAATAAAAAGAGGAAAAAAAAGGGGGGGGGTGGTTTAAAATATATTCCCTTATTCAAATGACTTTTCATTTGTTGAGTTGCTTTGGGCCATTACCTGTGTGTACAATGTTTTTCTTTCTTTCTTTCTTTCTTTCTTTCTTTCTTTCTTTCTTTCTTTCTTTCTTTCTCTCTCTCTCTCTTTCTCTCTCTTTCTTTTTTTCTAGACATGGCTTCTCTACATAGCACTGGCTGTCTTGGACCTCACTTTGTAGACCATTCTGGCCTTGAGCTCAAGAGTTCTGCCTGCCTCTGCCTCCCAAGTACTGGGATTACAGGAGTGTGCCACTGTACCCAGCTTGGGAAGGTTTTAAATGGGTAAAAATAATATCTTGCCATTTTACATGCTTTTAAAAATTGTTTCATTTTGTTATCCCAATTTAAGATAGTAATAAATTAAGAAGTATTTCCCTTGAAAATTACATTGTCTGAAAAATAAATAAAGATATAAATGTGAATCAAATTCAGATAACCTTCAGAAAGAAGGCTTAAAGGCTCACCTAGGCTTATCTACTACTCTTATAGGAAATAATGGGTGGAACTTGTTTCAGCATGAGAATTACTTGTCTGATGTGAAAAAGACTCATTGTTCGTATCCTCATTAAGTTCTAAAATTGGAAGAGTAAATAACAACTGACATCTTTTCCATTTGCTGAATGTTTTGTTTGTGTAGCCTCAGCCAAACAGCAAGTACAAAACTAGCATGTGCCGAGATTTGCGACAACAAGGGGGTTGTCCACGAGGAACAAATTGTACATTTGCCCATTCTCAGGAAGAGCTCGAAAAGTAAGTCTGAAGGAATGTCTTTCATATAGTGTTATTCAGGGAGTGTTATATTCAGTATTAACTTCTGTGATGTTTCAAAGCTATAAGTAATATGAATTGCATATTAGCTATTTTGAACCCATGAGATTTAACTAGGTATAAGATTAATATTAAAAGGTCATGTTTGAATAAAAGGGTCAATTAGAAACTAATAGCTGAAATCGATTTTTCTTTCACCTTTTTTACTTACTTTTTTGAAGATTTATTTATTGTGTATACAGTGTTCTGCCTGCATGTCAGAAGAGGGTACTAGATCTCATTGTAGATGGTTGTGAGCTACCATGTGGTTGCTGGGAACTGAACTCAGGACCTCTGTGCTCTTAACCACTGATTCATCTTTCCAAACCCTTCTTTTACCTTTGTAGAATGAAAGTACTACTGTTTGCCTCTGTTTTATTTGCTCAGGTTCAGTTGAACATATCAGCAAAATCTCAGGCAAAATGTTAATGTAGATAATTTTTCTTTTTCTGGCTTTTCCTCTTTTTAACATTTTTCTAGAAGTTACTGAATAAAAAAAGAAGAAAGAAAAAAGAAGGACATGACTGCTCCTAGGTATGGTGAAGGAGAAGGTTTATTGTAGATAAAAGGGAGCACAGTAGCCAGAGGCAGAAACATTTGGAAGACTCCAGAGTGAACAAGACCCTGAACCTGGCTATGTGAGGGGAGGGGAAAAGGAGAGGGGAGAGCCAGGAAACCAAGAGACCCAGAGGCCAGGAAAGTACAGGGTAGACAAAATGGCTGGATTATCTAGGGAAAGATAACTGGGTGATGGATATACCAGCCATATGCTTTAACAGAAACTGAAGAATGCCAGGAGAACCTGGAGGCAGGTTTGCTTTGATATGTTAAGTTGGCATTTCAGCCATTTGTCCTGGGTGTATGACCTTTGTTTAGGGATGTGAAAGTAAATATATGATTTTCATCAAAACTCACCCGAAAATGATCTCAGGCTTTCTCTTAAGTAACTGGCATTTTACCGGCTCTTAGTGTACATCTGTAATTTGTTTGTAGCTCTTTCACACTTGGTAAGCTAATTCCCTACTTTGATGTCACCTTGTCTTTGAGCCATTCTTTTCTGCCTATTAAACTAGTTATGCCGGGCATATTTTGGAAATCTTTGCCAGCGATCTTCCCTTCACCTTTTTCCTTCATAATCATTTACCAAGTTCTGCCATTCCAGCTTCCTTTGTCTTGAGCTGTCATAACAAGTTTTGATCACTTTTTTTTTTTTTCCTGTGTTTTTTTTTTAGGGTCTTTCTGTATAGCCCTGGCTGTCCTGGAACTCACTTCATCGATAATGCTGGCCTCTATTAACTCAGAGATCCATCTGCCTCTGTCTCTCAAGTGCTGGGATTAAAGGTGTGTTCCACCACCACCTAGCTCTGATTTGCACTCTTACCTTCAAGCCACCATAATTTCCTATTGGTTTTTGGAGTGCGCTGTGCACCTTTAACCCTCGGATCGTCCACGTGCTGCTCCTTCTAGCCTTGCCTTTGGGGCTTTTCCTTGCCCTGTTCCTCATTCATGTATTTCAGTAGGATCCCTTTACTACTTCATGTGAGCCAGAATCTTAGTCACATTTATTTATTACAGTGTTGTGAAAGCTCTGTTTTTCTGTGAAGTCCATATAGAAAATATTTTTGGCTTTGTAGGCTGAACCGTTTCTTTTATAAATTACACGTAGCCATAGACAGTGTGTAAAGTGAGCATAGCTGTAAACTTTACTTAGAAAGATAAGCAGGTTTGATTCATGTATTATAGTTACCTGTTCCTAATATGTTTATTGTCTGTCTTACATAGTGTTAGCTTTATACATTTATACGTGTGTGTATATATATATGTGTGTATATATATATATATATATATATATATATATATATATAAAATTTATTGTTCTTTCCTTTCATCTGTGGCCAGCATGTTATGACCTCCATAGCAGTAGCTGCACCATAAGAAAAGCTGTGTGACTAGGAATGTGTTTTTTTCTGATCACCCTCCCTCATTTAAAGCTTATAGAAAGTCTGCAAGTGTCCTAAGAAAGAAAGTAGAACCCATATATAAAAATACATATATGAATCAGTTCTCTTCTCTTCATACTAGTTTGTCCTCTGATCTTATGTAACAGTCATAAAGATGATAATAATTATAATACCCAATTAATTGGTTATACTTTGTGCCAGATACCATTTTTACTTTTCAATTACACATTAACTCAGTTTATCTGTTTTACCTCTTCATTGTCTATTTACACTTTAACTGAGCTTTTCCATTTGTACTGAAATTACTTTCTAAGGTACCTGTCTAACCATTTCTATCTTCTGTTTAAAATTGTTAGTTGATGCTTCACTATATTACAGAATTTGGTTCAAACCTTCCTTTCATCTTTTAGATAATGTGCCAATAAAGTACTAAGCACTACTTGTCTTAATTACCTTTCTTGTTTATGTAATACCTTATCTGACAAATGCAGCTGGAGGACAGAAGCCTTACAATTCAGAGGTACAACTCACCATCATGGGGGAGTCACGGAGCAAAGGCAGTTGGTCACATTGCACCCACAGTTGGGAAGCAGAGCTGTTCTGTCTGGGACTCCATCCCATGTTATATGCCACCTGCTGTTATGGTGGCTTTTCCCACCCAGTTAGTCTAATCAATAAAATCCTTCATAGACATTTAGAAATGAGTCTGGATTCTGTCAAGCTTACAATCAGTAAGCTTTATCAGTTTGGTGATGAAACAGATCATTTTTGGGCCTTAAACTACTTGTTTTTAGAGGCTCATGGCTGTTTCATACTGCAAAGTATATTCAGTGTAACTTCAAAAGGCCCCATAGTCTTCAGCAGCTCCAACAACTGTTCAAAATTTCAAAGTCTCACCTGAGTTTCAGGTGATTAAAATTTTTAAATGTATTTACTTTTTGTATATGAATGTTTTACTTGTGTGTATGTATATGCACCATATTTGTGCAGTGTCTGTGGAGAAGTTGGATTCCCAGGAACTGGAGTTTAAAGTAGCTAAGCCACCGGGTGGGTACAGGGAACTAAACTCATGCCCTCTTCAAGAGCAGCAAGTGCTCTTTGTTACAAAGTGCTCTTTGCTGCAGAGCCACCTCTTCAGCGCCTTAGGCAATTTCTTAACTGTGAGTCCTACACAATCAAAAAATGTGTCACATAGTTTCAACCTAAAGCAGCACAGAGTAAACATTCCCGCTCCAAAAAGGGAACTGGGGCACTACAAAGAAAAGTAGAACCAAAGCAAGGCAAACTTCAAAACCTAGAGCTATATAGTGTGCATCTGGGGTTTATACAGAGTCCCCTGGACTCCAGGGATTTGTGTAGTCCTATCTGTCTAGCTCCAGTGCACATAGCCTGTGTCTTGGGCCAGCTCCACAGTACCTGCAGCTCAATTACCAATCTGGCTAACCAAACAAATTTAGACACCGTCATACTGGCAACTCCAAAATCCTGGAGTCTGCATCTCAACTTTGATTACATTTTCTTGGCTTCATATAATGGCCCTGCAGGACCCTCTCTGCAGGAAATTCATCCCTGCTGCTCATTGCCTGGCCTTAATGGCTCATTGAATTCTGTGACACTGGCAGGTTCAGAATATAGCAGGATTCTTTGCCAGAATATGATATACAGGGCCTCTAGCCTAATTATCAGTAGAGTCCTTATTCCCCTTTGAAACCTGTAAGCTGAGCCTTCATTGTTGAAATTTATCTTAGTATTGTGATCTAAATTTCTACCAAAATAGCCTGTTAACCTCTGTTTACAATGTCTAGGACCTTCCTAGCCCAAGAGTACAAGCTTTTCTATATTCTTCCTACAAACTGGTTTCAAAACACATAATCAGGCTTATCATACCAATCATCTTAATTTTCTGTTTTTTCTAGTTGCTATAATGAAATGCTATAAATACAATTTTGAAAAGGAGAGTATTTTGGCTCATATTTTGAGGGTACAGTTCATCATGATGGGGAAGTCATAGTGGCAGTGTACAGTCAGCAATGAATTTCATTTTCTCCTTTTATTCAGTCCTAGACCCTAGACTGTGTGATGATGCTACCAACAGTTGGGTTTGTCTTTTCACCCACGTTTATCTAGAAAACGTATCACCATTTGTGTCTGGATCTTGTCTCCTTGGTGATTCTAGGTTATATAAGGTTGACAGTTAATATTAACCATCACCCTTCTATCTACCGTTATGCTGTCAGAAGGCTGTCATCACATATGGACCTTCGTTCTTAGACTTCCCAGTCTGTAGAACATTGAACCAAAGGCATTTTCTATATTATAAACTACCCACAGCAAACAGAAAAAGTAAGACAAGTGCTTTGGCTATATGCTGACAGAAAGAGACATCTTGCCCAGGCAAGTCAGAGAAGGCTAGAGAAGCAAGTTGACACCTGAGCATGATTAAACTCAGATAGAAGAGAAGATGTACAAGAAGAAAAAGTAAAGAAAAAATGCACACAAATTTTGTATGGCTAATAGAACTACAGAGTTCTGTGCCTTAATGCCTGCTCCATTTAAGTAAAAGATATAATTCAGTTATATAAACATAATTGATTGCAGTGGATATTTTTTAATATATAAAATATATTTGGTTGGGTGTTCTATAGATTGGGAAGTTTAAGAATGAAGGGCCATATCTGGTGAGAGTCGCCTTATAGCATTACCCTAGGTAGAAAGGCAAAAAAAAAATATGTGTGAAAGAGAAGAAAAGAGAAAGTGAACCTGAACTCTCCCCTTTTTCAGGAGCCCATTCTCATGGTAATGGAATTAGGTTTTTGTCAATTTGATACAAACTAGAGTCATTTGAAAAGAGAAAACGTCATTTGAGAAAATGTTCCTACCATATTTTATATCTTGAACAAATCATTTAGGGTGTCTCACCTCTTAAAATTTTTATTGAAGATGAAGATTCCAACCTTGAGCCAGGCAGTGGTGGCTCACAACTTTAATCCCAGAATTTGGGAGGCAGAGGCAGGTCGATCTCTTTGAGTTTGAGGCCAGCCTAGTCTACAGAGTGAGTTCTAGAACAGCCTGGACTTCACAGAGAAACCCTGTCTTAAACAAACAAACAAGGCTCAGCAGTTAAGAACGCTTGTTATAGCTGGGTGTGGTGGCATATATATAGTCTGTAATCCCAGCACTCTAGGTGACAAAGGCAGGCAGATCTCTAAGTTGGAGGCCAGCCTGGTCTATAAAGTGAGTCCAGGACAGCCAGGACTACACAGAGAAATTCTGTCTCAAAAAACCCCAAAAAACAACAACATCAACAACAACAACAAAATCCACCACACTTCCAGAGGACTTGAGTTCAGTACTGAAGTCACAACCACCTATAACTCCAGCTTTAGGGGATTTGACAAAAGGCACAGAGACACACACAAAGAAAAAAATAATTGTTTTTAAAACAGAAGCCACTATTTTTTTAAAAAAAAGGAATCAACAGTGACTCCCAAGTTGTTTACCCTACATAACTGAATTTATCTTTTTCTTAAATGGAGCAGGCATTAGGGCAGAGAACTTTGTACTGTCTTGGCCATACAAAATTTGAAGCTGGCCAGGCAATGGTGCATGCGTTTAATCCCAGCACTCAGGGAGGCAAAGGGAGGCAGACCTCTATGTGTTCAAGGACAGCCTGGTCTACAGTGCAAGTTTCAGGAGAGCTAGGGCTACACAGAGAAGCCCTGTCTCAAAAAAATCAAACAAACAAAAAAGAAGCTGAGTACTCATTCAGGGTAGCAAATGTATCTTGAAATATCTGGTATGCACAGGCACTCATATTTAGAGTGGTATGTAGAAAAGACAAAAATCCCTATCCTGGATATGGTTAGAGACTGACATGCAGCAAATAAATAGAGAACATATCTAGTAGATAGACTTGTTATTGTATTTGAGACAAGGTTTCTCTGTGTGCCTCTGGCTATCCTGGAACTCAGTTTGTAGACTAGGCTGGTCTCAGACTCATAGAGATCCACTTACTCTGTCTCCCTAGTGCTGGGATTAAAGGCATACGCCCCCACTTCCCAGCGATAGATAGACATTTTTTTTAAAGATTTATTTATTTAATTTATGTATATAAACACTGTTTTCATGCACACCAGAAGAGGAAATCAGATTCCATTGCAGATGGTTGTGAGCCACCATGTGGTTGCTGCGTATTGAACTCAGGACCTCTGGAAGAGCAGCCAGTGCTCTTGACCGCTGAGCCATTTCTCCAGCCCTAGATAGACATTTTAATAGGGTATTCCAGGAACAGTTATCAGAGCATATGACATTTAAACAGACCCCTGCCTAAAGTGACAGCACAAGGAAGAAATAAAAATTACAGGAGTGAAGTCCATGAGAAGGCAGATAAGACTGAGCCCTGGAATATAAATTAACCTTAGGAACTGGAATTCTGCTTCTTTTGTCTTGCAAAGAATGTGGTGTTACAGGTGCAGGAAATTAATGGAACTGGTGATACAGAGTTTTTTGTGTTTTCTCTATTAACAAGGAAGCAGTATTGTCAGGTTTGGAGGAGCTGAGGAGGAAAAAGGAATGTTAAAGATGAGAAAGTAAAGTTAGGAAAGACATACATCAATGAATTGCTTGGTGATTTCAAGTAAATATTCAAATTTTGGTCTTTACCACATGATTGTCTCACCCCACCCAACACAGTAACGTTTAGCTAGTTTGTGAACAAGTACAGAGTAAGTACTAAATTTTGTCAGATAAGTTGTGTAATGGTGGACCATTCCTTGTATACTCTATGACTAAGGAGTCAAAGATACAAGGGAGGTATTAGTGATTGGTAGTGGGTTGTGACATGAGTGAGGCAGTACTTGAAGTTGCTCACGATTTGAAAAGAATTGGCCATTTCAGATGTGAGAGTTAGATTCTAAATCCATGGCTTTGGTGACCAGGAGCCCTGTGCATATACCCTCTCTTCACTCATCTGACACAATTTCTTATGTTTTACTTTTCCCAAAGAAAATTTTGTTCATTGACCAAACTTAAGAATATGGACTTACAGGGCTGGAAGGATGGACTACTGTTTAAAAGTGCTTGTTCCACAATTATGAGGACCATTGTTTAGATCCTAGCACTAGTGTAACAAGCTAGGTATCCCTCACAGCTGCCCGTACCCCAGCTTTAATGGGTGTCGGAGGCAATAGGAGTATGGCTCAGGTTTGCTGACTAACAGTCTAGCTGGGACACGAGCACAGGCACGCTCATTTAATTTTATATAGAGAGAAAAGGATATGTATTTGAATTAACTAGCCATTTTCCTTAAGAACTTTGAAGAGTAGAATGAAGACATTTCAGAGAACACATTGAAGAAAATGGGATTCCTTTCCCTTTGGTGGTAACAGTTTGCCTTTCTGAAGTATAAATCTGCTCATGCTCTTCCTTCTCCTTCAGGAAGTATTCCCTGGGTTTCCAACCCCTGTGCCTATGTGGTGTGTGATCTAGTCACTCTAAGTTGTTGATTTTTGGTTTTGCTGTTTTATTTTATTCCTCCACTATCCAATCTTATCTGTGGGTACTCATCTTTTATTGAAATTTTCTTCCAGTGTTATATGTAAGAGACAGAGACAGTGAAAGGACTGAATGATAGATTTGTTTATAGATGCTGAAGAGCTAAAGCAGAAACTATTACACAAGCATTATTCATCATGATCATCATGTTGGAGTGTAACAGTAATTGAGTAATTTAAGCATAGTAACCCCAAGTGTTTTTTGTTGTGTTGTCCACTTAGAAATATTGAGAGAACAGGACCAAGACTTATATCACTATTCTATCCAGTCTTCATAAATAAATGTAATATCAGAAAAATCTGTGATGGAAATATTTCTTTAGACTTAAACTCATTTAGGAATAGTTTAAAATATCTGTGTTTTGATATAAAGTTTAAAAAGGAGGTTTTGAGTTTTTTATTGTTTCTTTAAAATTTTGTTCTGCTTGTATAATTTAATCAGCAGAGACTGATTTTAACTCTTGTATTCTTTCCTGTTAGTTCTGTGTTACTTTCAGAATTTGGTGCTTTGGATACCACATAAAAATAGATTTTCAAACCCCACTCTTTCAGAAAGCTTTGAGTGCATGCATACCTTGCTTGCTATATCAGTTATGTGCCTGTATTTGCATGTATGTTACATGTATATGTGACATTGAGTATCTGATACTTAGTTGAAAAATTTTCAGAGCTGTTTTCTTTTTTAAACATATTTTCTTTTTGTGTTTTCAGATTAAAATCTAAAGCAGTACAAACATGTTGATTATTTTAACAGGTACCGATTAAGGAACAAAAAGATGAGTGCGACTGTAAGAACATTTCCTCTTCTGAATAAAGTTGGTGTAAACAGCACTGTCACAACCACAGCCGGCAATGTCATTTCTGTCATAGGAAGTACTGAAACAACTGGGAAAATTGTTCCAAGCACAAATGGAATTTCAAATGCAGAAAGCAGTGTTTCCCAGCTAATCCCACGAAGTGCTGACAGTGGAGTAAGGACTCTGGAGACTGCGAAGAAAGTTGGGAAGGTTGGCACTAATGGCCAGAATGCTGCTGGGCCCTCTGCAGAGTCTGTGTCCGAAAAGTAGGTATTGAGTGAGGATGATAGCATTCTTTTTCCCTGTTAGAAGTGACCTCTTTTTTTCATCCTAGGGTACAATAGTAAATTGAAATTTTATGCAGTTATTCATGTAATAGAGGAAAATACTAAATACAAAGAAATTTGAGTTCTAATCCTCACTATGTGACTAAATAGCTCTGCAAACTTGAAAAGTTGCTTCAACTCGTGAGTTTTGTTTTTTTTCAACTATATTATATTGGGCCAGAATTGGGGTTTCCAGATTTTATTTTCTTGAGTTTCAGTATTAAATTCATAGAGAAGATCAAAAGGAGCTAAGTAGAAACCTAAACAGGTGAGAAGCTTGAATGTATAGCTAACTGTTTCAGTCAGATTCTACTGCGTTCTTTGTAATGGTATATAATTAAGGGTAGACTGTTGGGAGCCAAGATCCTTGGGCTCAAATTGTGTCTTGCTTTTTCCTACTGTTAATTGTATGCCAAACCAGTTATTTTATCTGTCTACCTTGAAATACTCATAAAATTACAATATCTTCATGGGCTAGGTGTGTAGCTCAATGGTCATCATTTCCTGATGGTGAAATTTGAGTTAGTGGTATACTATATTTTGAACAGTGCCTGGCCGTTAGTAGCCACTCTGCCTCATTTTTACCACCGTTGTTGTTGTTGACTGACAACATTAGACTTCATTTGACAAATTTTTATTTTTTATTAATTACAGTTTATTCACTTTGTATCCCACCTGTTGCTCCCTCCTTTTCCTCCTCCCAGTCCCAACCTCCCTCCCATGCCCCTCCCCCAGTCCACTGATAGGGGAGGTCGTCTTCCCATTCCATCTGACCCTAGCCTATCAGGTCTCTCCGGTTTTGGCTGCATTGTCTTCCTCAGTGGCCTGGTAAGGCCGCACCCCCCTGAGGGGGAGGTGATCAAAGAGCAGACCAATCAGTTCATGCCAGAGACAGCCCCTGTTCCCATTACTATGGAACCCACTTGGACAGTGAACTGCCATGAGCTCCATCTGTGCAGGGGTTCTAGGGTATCTCCATGAATGGTCCTTGGTATCTCAGAAGACATCCCTGTGTCTAGATTTTTTTGGTTCTGTTGTTCTCCTTGTAGAACTCAAAATGAATTTTTTTGATTAATTTTTTTAACCTCATAAAAATTGCTGAAACTTTCAGATAATTGGAAGTTACTCCAGTCTTACATTTTGAGGTTTAGAAATTAAAGTTAAAAGCATTTTCAGATTTCATTGTCCTTGAAGTTTGTCAGTACTAGTATATGCCTACTGGAGAAAAAGCATCATGCTTGGCACACAGTAAACTTTTAATGACTTAATGTCATAGAGACTGTATAAGTTAAAGATAATCTTTTCAACTTGTATAGTTCAGCATGTAATAGAAATTTTTTATTAAAATGATCTTCACTGGATGTATTTGGGAAAAGATACATTAAAAATATTGACTACTTCACAAATGTTACTGTGTACCCATTCCATGCTTTGTCACTGGCATTGTTAGAAATATCTGAAAACTAGATATCTCAGCCTTTAAAGGACTCATAATGCTATAGGATGTGGATATAACATTTATACAAATAAAGCACATTAGCTAAAAGATAGGAATATTTCTCGTTTCTAGTGTAGTATAGCACGTTTTGGGGGGAAAACAGTGTGGTTTAAGTTTGTTTGTAGATTTGTAAAGTATTAGGGCTAGCCTTAGAAAACTGAAAACTGAATGTTTGTAGTGGAGATTATCTCAGTGGACAAGTGCTTGCTTAGCATGTGCAGTGCCCTCAGTTTGTCCCTCGTACTGAAAACTGAATGTTTGTAGTGGAGATTATCTCAGTGGACAAGTGCTTGCTTAGCATGTGCAGTGCCCTCAGTTTGTCCCTCGTACCAGACACTCATTTATATATCTGAAGGTTTATGTTACTGACTGATATATACTGGCTGTTATCAGGCTATGAAAACCTTATGAGGCTATAAAAACTTTTTGCTCTATGTTTAGAAAATAGAATTCTGAAGGTTTTGGCAAAGTAACATTAGCTAGCCTTGGATGCAGAGGAAATTTAAGGCCAGCGTGGACAAATTATTAAGAACTTGCCACCACCACCACCACCACCACCCCCAAAAAAAAGAAAAATGGAAAGAGAATGTTAAAAATGGGCTATGGATATATAGGTCAGTGGTGGCATACTTGCCAACTCCCACAAGGCTCCAGTTTCAGTATCCACTTCCAAGAGAAAAAAAATTTGTGCTTACTGAAAGAAGCTAGTTACAAAATGCAATTTGCAGTTCAATATAACAAAAATGTCCAAAGTTGGCAAATTTGTAGACATAGAAGTCCAATAGTCACTGGTGGGAGCTAAGGATAGAGTGGAAATAGGAAAGAGGAAGGAAATGAGTACAAGTTTTCTGATGGTAGATGGAAAATCTTAGGAGTTTATCAGAAGTTGATGATACGTACCTTAAACCATGAGTTATAGTTTGCGTTTTTAACTTTCTTTTTTTCCTTTGGTCTGGGAATAAAGCCCAGGTCTTTTTATATTTTAGGAACTTGCTCTATAACTTAGGCAATGGACAGGGCTGGTGAAATGATTCAATGCTTTGATAAAGGCTCTTGCCTGATGACCTAAGTTTAGTTCCCTGAAAACATATGGGGGAAGGAGAAAATGGACTCCCAGAAGTTATCCTCTTGTTCTTCATATGTACTCTTTGGCATGTGCATGCCAGTAAATACACATAAACACACAAAATAAGTGATTAGGTATAAAAAGAAAAGTGTTTGTAAGGGCTGGCAAGATGGATTGTCAGGGAAATAGTCTCTTGCTGCCAAGCCTAACAACTGGCATTCAGTCCTCAGGACCTACAGTGTTGTAAGGAATGTCTACAGGTTGTTCTGACTTAGACATTTGTATGCACACATGAGGAAAGGTAACAAAACATTTTAAAACGTAAAGATAGAGAAAAACTACTTATTCATGTTACTATGGATCACCTAGTACATGAGACCAACTGATGTCCTTAATGAAAATGAGCCAGATAGTCTCTGCCTCTGACAGTTTTCTAGTGCAATTGTGGCATCAGATCTAGAAGTAGATAGATGCTAAATGATACGTTTTGACTGGTTTTGTGGTATTGGAACAAGGGAATATCTGTACTTGAGTCTTTTGGGAGAAGAGCTTGAGAGGCTTTTAGAGATGAAGTTGTGATACCTGTTGTTATCTCCCAATGTGTAGATAATAGTAGCAGGGAGATCCTTATGGATAGATAAAGCAGACAAAACCATGGAGATGTGAGGGGAATTGACTGGGAAAAGGGACTAGAATCAGAGGTCATGTGGGGTAATAAAACCAGAGAGGCATCTGGTTCCTTGTTGAGGGTAAGACAGAGATTTGTTTTGCCCTTATCCAAGTGTGTAGGATGGCTCGCACGATGATGTCATGAGCCAGTGAGTTAATTTACTTTGTCACTAATTTTAATACCTATTTTCTGTAAGTCTTAAGAATCTTCCATTTCAAAGTGCTAACCTCAGTTTTTGTTTGTTTGTTTGTTTGTTTGTTTTGTTTTATAGTGCATAACATTGTGGCATGGAAAGCACTTGATACTATGTGTAAAACATTTAGCCTAGTGCATTAGTTACTCAGTAAGAGCGCCATAAATGTTTGTTGTTTTGTTTTGTTGTTGTTTTCAAGACAGGGTTTCTCTGTATTTAGTCCTGGCTGCCTTGGTCTCTCTCTTTAGACCAGGCTGGCCTCAGACTCACAGAGATCTGACTACTACTGCCTCCCAAGTGCTGGGATCACAGATGAGTGCCACCATGCTCGGCTACAAGTTTGTTTTTTTATAAGGAAAAAATTATTTTTCTTGTTGTTAGTGTTTATTAAAAGAATATCTTTAAACTCTAAGCCAAGACATTAGTGCACAACTACCTAGTTATCTGCACTTCTTTAGTTCTGATACAGTCTATCACAGAAGTAAACTTCCTCTAGACAAATCTCTTGTGCTATATTCAAAGGCAGCCTATATACCTTTACTATTTTATGCTCTAGTCTTACAAGGACTTTTCTAAGTCCCTAACTTAATGCTTATCTTTAAAGCCCTCAAGAGTTAAATTGGGAGTGGTGGCACACACCTTTAATCCCAGCACTTGGGGAGGCAGACACAGGTAGGTCTCTGTGAGGCCTTTATGAGTCCAGGACAGCCAAGGCTACCCAGAGAACCCTTGTCTCGAAAAAGAGGGGGGAAAAAAGCTCTGAAGAGTTTTTAAAGCTTTTGAAAGGGAGCAAGAATGTCCTAATAAGGTTCTCTTATTCAACCAAGAAAATCCTTTTATATTAAAACAATAAAAATTAATTGGCATTACATTCACTCAGTAGATATTTATTAAGTAATCACTTGGTGCCAGGATATATTTTATTTATTCAACAAATGTTCACTTAGTGCCTACTCCAAGCCGGGAACTGTTTTCTAGGTGCCAGACAAAATAGAGATAACAGAATAGACAAAAGTGGGCTTTTATTGGATTACATTTTAGTTAATCAAATTGTTTTTTACTATTTTCGCCTTAGAGACTTCTACTTATAGACTGTGTTATTTACCTTTTAAACTCGCTGAGTGGGATTGTTGTTCTTTCGTTGTTGGCTTTTGAGTTTTACAACAGGAAAAATCTTTAAAGAATGAGTCAGAGTCAGCTGAAAAGTCAGTTTAGTGACTGGAGTTCATTTTTATATCTTGTCAACCTCACCAGAACATGAAATCCTTTAATACATGATCTTGGGCATTATAGTGTGAAGAAGCATTAAATTTTTTTGCCAGATATTTTCCCCTGTTGAAATACCTGATATGTTTTCTATTGATAGTTTTACCTTACACTTTTATGAAAAAAAATTTCAAGGAAGACTTAGTGATCGTAGTGAGTTGTCTTTTGCTCTTTATTATATTCTTTCTAGTAAAATTGGTTCTCCACCCAAGACTCCTGTAAGTAATGCAGCAGCTACCTCTTCTGGGCCCTCTAATTTTGGAACAGAGCTGAATTCCGTGCCTCCCAAATCGAGCCCATTTCTAACTAGAGTTCCAGTATATCCTCAGCATTCTGAAAGCATTCAGTATTTTCAAGATCCAAGGACTCAGATACCTTTTGAAGTCCCACAATACCCACAAACAGGTAAGTAATTTTAGTCAATTTTAAGAACAAAGAAGCAAATGAATGAGTAGATAAATGAACATCTAGACTATTTACATTAATAAATTAATTTCACTCTGTGACCCATAAGTTTCTTCCTACCCTAAGAGATCTTTTCTTTTAGTTTGTAATTCTCCCACTTGGTAGATGGTGGCAGGGAGGATCAAGAAGTCAAAGCCTACATAGTGAGTTCAAGGCCAACTTTACTACATGTCTCAAAACAAACAAAACAGAGGGCCTCTGAAAGCCTCTGCAGTATAGACTGTCAAAGCAGATGCTGAGCCTGATGACCAACTGATAGAGTGAATGGAATTTTATGTAAGAAGTGGGAAATAGTAAGAACTGGAGGGGACGGGAACTCCACAAGGAGAGCAACAGAACCAGATAATTTGAACACAGGGAACTTCCCAGAGACTCATACTCCAACAAGAACTATTCGTGGAGATAACCTAGAACCCCTGCACAGATGTAGCCCATGGCAGTTCAGTGTCCAAGTGGGTTATATAGTAATGGGAAGAGGGACTGCCTCTGACATAATCTGATTGGCCTGCTCTTTGATCACCTCCCCCTGAGGGGGGAGCAGCCTTACCAGGCCACAGTAGAGGACAATGCAGCCACTTTTGATGAGAATGATAGACTAAGATCAGAAAGGAGAGGAGAACCTCCCCTATCAGTGGACTTGGGGAGTGGCATGCATGCAGAAAGGGAGGGAGGGTGGGATCGGGAGGGGAGGAGGGAGGGGCTTATGGGGGGATACAAAATGAATAAAGTGTAATTAATTAAAAAAAAAACAGTAAAGGCTATTATTTTAGTACTGGTATATTTTCATTAACATTTGTACCATTCATATACCTATGTGCATAGGATTTTTATATTGTCATTCGTGGTGTGTAGGAATTTGTATTGCTATACAACCTGGTCAGTGCTTAATATCTTTGGATTTTTGTGTGTGTTTGTGTTGGGCTAATTTCTGTGCCAGTTCTCTTGTTTCCCTCATGTGGGTTTTGGTATTGAACTTGGGGTGAACTTAAGTCCGCATGATGGGTGCTTTTTACCAACTGAGCCATATTGTTGGCTGGCTTTTTTTTTTTTTTTTTTAATAACAGCCATGGAATGAGGTGATTTCTTTTATTTGTGTATTCTAAAATGTTATTAATGTTAAATATTTTCATTATACTAGTTGGCCATATGAATGTTTTCTTTTGACAAATGTTTATTTAGTTCTAGTACTTATATTTATCAAGTTGATTTGTTTTTAATTGCATTTATCACATGTAGCTTGTATTTTGTTTCATTCTGTTGACTGCCTCTACAGTCTAATGAGGTTTTTCTAATGAGTTTTTTGATTTGATATAGTTCTGTGTACCTGATTTGCCTTTGTGTTTGTGCTTTTGTGTTTCTTCCGAAAAACTCTCTTGTTCCTAATACTTAGAAGCATTTCTCGTGTTTTCTTCTAGTAGGTTTATAGTTCCAGCTCATACATAGAGATCTTTAATCCATACTGAATTAATTTTTGTAAGTGGTTAGAGATATGTCTATTTCATTCTTTTACTTAGATGCTAATAGTTGTCATTTGTAAGAATCAAATATAGAATCCATAAATGACCTTGATGAAATGGTATTTCATGGTTTTGTGCATTGTTTAAAAATATTTTTACTCTTATGTATGTGAGTATTCATATGTGCGTATGTGTAACACATGTTTGCAGTGTTCTTGGAACTGGGGCTATCAATGGCTGTGAGCTGCTCTGTGTGTGCTGGAAAGTGGTATGTGTGTGTGGGTGGGTAGGTGGGTAGGTGTTTCGAGACATGATTTCTCTGTATAGCTTTGGCAATCTTGGATTCACTTTAAAGAAAGACCAGGGTGGCCTCAAACTCACAGAGATCCACCTGACTCTGCCTCCTGAAGTGCTGGGATTACAAGCATGTACCACCATGCCTGGCCAACAAGTGCTCTTAACCACTGAGCCATCTCTATAACCTTGCTCTTGTATTTTTTTATTTATCTATTTTGAGACAGGGTCTTAAAATATATATATAGCTAGACCTGGCTGGTTTGAAATTCATAAATCAGGATGTCCTAAAAAACTTAAAAGATCTGCCTTGCAAATGCTGGGATTAAAGGAGAGTGCCACCTGTTTTTTTGGTTTTTGTTTTGTTTTGTTTTGTACGATTTGAAATGAAAATTAATAAAATAAATCCTGAAAGAGATCTTTCAACTCTGAACCCAAAGTGCTTCGTTAGAGTCAGTGATACAACTAATTACTTATTTAGAAACATGCAAAAGATTCACTAAATTAGTCTGCCATCTGCCAGCAGCTCTGTAGTTTGATTTTAAAGAATAGTTTTAACAGTGTTGAATGTTGATATTAATATAATGGTGTCTTGACAATAATACAGTTTGTAAAGATCAGTGCTAATTATATTTTGCTTACATTCATGGCTGCTTTGGATTTAAAACCATTATAAAATGTTGGTTTTTACTAAGATGTTATATTGAATATTTCTCTTTCCATTTTTCAAGGATACTACCCACCACCTCCAACGGTACCAGCTGGTGTGACTCCCTGTGTTCCTCGATTTGTGAGGTCCAGTAATGTTCCAGAGTCCTCCCTCCCACCTGCCTCCATGCCATATGCTGATCATTACAGTACATTTTCCCCTCGAGATCGAATGAATTCTTCTCCTTACCAACCTCCTCCTCCGCAGCAGTATGGACCAGTTCCCCCAGTACCCTCTGGAATGTATGCTCCTGTGTATGACAGCAGGCGTATCTGGCGCCCAGCTATGTACCAACGAGATGACATTATTAGAAGCAATTCTTTACCTCCAATGGATGTTATGCACTCGTCTGTCTATCAGACATCTTTACGGGAAAGATATAACTCATTAGATGGATATTATTCAGTGGCTTGTCAACCACCAAATGAGCCAAGGACAACTGTGCCTTTACCAAGGGTAAGTGATGTTGAAAATAGAAATGTTGCTATCATGTGTTAGTTGAGATCTTTGTGTCTTGAGTCAAACCAGACAGGTTCTTATTAACTGTGTGATTTAGAGAAATTACTTGACCTTTGTATGGCTCATATTTTTGTTGTTCTTTTTGTTTTTTGTTCTTTTCTTTCATCTATTTGAGTGAAATAAAAGTAGTGCCTACTTTTAAGACTGTTTGATGAGATTAAGAAAACAAAAAACAAAACCCACAAAGCTCTGGGAACTAGATTTGGTATACATAGCAGTGTTCAAACATTGTTATGTTCAATTAGGAACTGATACAAAAGTTTAAAAACAAGCCTGAAGATACAAGGATAAGCAAGGCCTCTTTTAAGTAGCTTCACATGTATACAGACTTCTAAACTAGAAAAGTGAGTGCTCACATTTTATTTGACATCAGCTGAATGTAGGCTTTGATTTTTTTTTTTTAAACCTACTTTATTGGGGGTTTTTAAACACCTCTATCTCCCTTCAATCCCCTCACCCTAGATAGGAGAAAGATGGTTAATAGGGACAGGGGATATACACCTCTTTAGACTTAGTTCCTTGGGATGATTCCACTCAGGATTCCAGCAGTTCCACCAAACAGCAGCAGCAGAACCAATCAGCAGCAGCCTCCTCAAAGCATTCTCTGGACTGTTTTTCTCTAGGAGCATTTGGACAGCATTCTCTGTCTCTGTCTCTCTCTCTCCTATTTATACCCTATCAGAGTCTGAATAGGATGTTTTCCAACTGGCAAAAACTATGCTCCCCCCTCCCCCCCACACACACACTAGGAGGCAGTTTTCAGCTGACAAGTATCATGCACCCTCTCACTAGGCTGTTACCAGCTGTGGATAAACTAAAGACTTTCCTACATCCCACATTTGGGATTACAACAAAAAACATATTTACATAACTAAGTTTTTAAAGAAACCAAAACTTTCACTTTAGCTGAGTATGTTAACCTTTTTCTTTGAGTATATGGAGAAAACACTAGATGCTAAGGCAGTGTCTCTGCTCTCTTTCTTTCTCTCTCTCTCTCTCTCTCTCTCTCTCTGTGTGTGTGTGTGTGTACAAGATCAAACTTTTTACATTATTCTCATAGAATAATAATGTTAAATTTATTTGTCACCATACAGGTGAACAAGATATCTTTCTTTTATCCCTTTTAGGAACCTTGTGGTCATTTGAAGACTAGTTGTGAGGAACAGTTAAGAAGAAAGCCAGATCAGTGGGCACAGTACCATACCCAGAAAGCACCTGTCTCTTCAACTCTTCCTGTGGCAGCACAGTCACCAACACCACCTTCTCCTCTATTCAGTGTAGACTTCCGAACCGATGTAAGAAAGGTTCTAACCACTTATTGATCATGAGTGGTCAAACAGCTGACTTTAACTAATGTTAACTAGTTAGATAGTTTGTAATGGTTTTGTATGGAGTTGAATTTAGTTCAGTAAACAGTTGGTGTGTAAACTATGGCTAGGTGTTAGGAGAGTCTCAAGACAAGAATCCTTTACAGGATTTCCAAAGCTTTGCAGCAGTAGACTTAAAACTTTATATTTTATTGTTATGTTTCTTGGCTGTTTGGTTTTGGGCTAGGTCTAAACCCAGAGCCTTTCACATCCTCTACCACTGAGCTTCACCCTAACATCCAGTTGGTGCATACTTCAAAATAAGATACCTACCATATATCTAGCAGCTACTTTTTTAAAATGATATTTTTATTTAATTCTCACAAAAACTGTAGAGGGCAAGTATTGTCCCTATTTTATAGGTTAATACCCAAGGCGGTTGTAATTTGCCCAGGATTTTTCAGCTTATAAATACCTGGAATTTGAATCCTAATAATTTCTGTTTCTCAAAAAGTGTAGAAATGCCTGCAGCATTATTTCTGCTATTAATATTCTTGTTAATTATTGTTTGTTAATACAAAACAAGTCTATGACAAGATGATTTCTGTTCTCTTTTGTTGTATGTTTTGTGTGTGTATGTATTTTATTCTCTAAATACAATATATTTACAGGGGGAAAATCGTTCTTTTGTGGGGGGGTTGGTTTTGTTTTGTTTTTGAGACAGGGTTTTTCGGTGTAGCCCTGGCTGTCCTGGAACTCTCTTTGTAGACCAGGCTGGCCTAGAACTCATAGAGATCCACCTTTGCTCCCAAGTGCCGGGATTAAAGGTGTATGCCACCGCAACCTGTCTGGAGAAAAATATTTTAACACACATACTCTCTCTGATTTATTCCTGGCCCTTAGTGTTTCTGGTACAAAAAACAAAACAGTTTTTAAAATCTTTCTTATTATGAAAAGTGTCAGACATACAAAATTGTAAAGACTCATAATAAGTTGCATATAATTATATCACTTCCCTAATTATCAGCTTGGTCAAATTTGTTTCCTTTGTACTTTTTGCCACTGGATTGTTTTGGCATAGTTTTAGCTATACATACATACACATTTATTTTTAATTTAATTTGATGGGTTTTGTTCTGTTTGGGTTTGGTTTTTCTGTTTGTTTTTATGATTTACTTTTATATCAATGTGTATCTTTGTGTTTATGTGAGTATATACCATGTATACATGTGCCCACAGAGGCCAGAAGAGGGTATTGGATTCCCTGGAATTGGAGTTAGAGGATGTTGTCAGCTGTGCAATGTGCATGCTAGAACCAGGCTCAAGTACTCTAGGATAGCAGCATGCACACTCAGCTGCTGAGCCATTTCTACATCCCCTAATCTTGTTTGTTTAGACAGTGTTTTGCTAAGTAGTTCAGGATAGTCTCAGATTTATAGTAATGTAAGTTGTAAGATGTGCAGATGTAAGCTAGAACACCCATATTAGATACATATTTCTGTTCATGAGTATGTTATAAAACATTGCATTTTTAACCTATTCATATTCACCTTACTAAACTGAGACTGCCTCAAAAGAAGTAAACAGTGGCAATGATTGATAGAGATACCATTTTTATAGGGTGATATATTTTTATTATTTTATAGAATATACTTTAAGAAATAAGATCTGCCATTGACAAATAGCATTACTGAGGACAAAATATTTGATTTTTTTGTTTCTCGGTTTTCCTATCTCTATAATAAATAAACTAAATTTAATTAAAACTTTAGTGTCTTGGTAATATTACTAATTACCTTGTATTTCCTTTCATATCTGTTTTTTTCCTTCAGAGCTGCCTGTGAATTCCATTTGTTATTTAATACTGTATGATTTATTAATTATGTTTCTTGATATGCTACATTTTTTTTCTCAAGAGATTTACAGACTGCTTTAAGACATGAATTGTGCTTTGTCTTAAGTTTATCTTTTCCTCATTGTTTTTAAAACATGACATACTATGATAACGTGTCATTGTTAATTGATTTTTATAGTATTGGTCAGGAATTTTATAAGAGCACTTACAGGACAGTAAGGCAGCTTAGGAAGTAGGAGTGCTTGCTGCAGAGCCTGATACCTTTAGCTTGATTCCTGGGACCCACGTGGTAGAGGGAGAGAAGCAACTCCCACAGGTTGTCTTGTGGCTTCTACCCACACATCACACACATGTGTTCATACACACTAAATAACTAAAATGAAATTTAAGCATTTAAAAAAAAATTAAAGATCATTTACAAGGGCAAAAGTGAAAGAAGGTGTAGAATAAATAACTGATAAGAAAAAGGAGGAAAGGTGTGCTGTTTTCTATTATATGAATATTATTGCTTAGAGCCAATCTGTTATTTATTTGTTTCATTCTTTTGCGAGGAGTTTTGCTCCACACAGCCAGGCTGGAGTGGAACTCAGTATATTGCCCAGTTGACCTTGAGCTCCATGCAGTTCTTAGACTACCAAATGATGGTTATTATTAACTATGTGATACTTTAATTGTATAATAATTACTCCGTGTTAGTTACAAGCTTGTAAAATTAGGTGTCATACTAATTTCTCCTTTTTTCCTTTTTTAAAACAGTTCTCTGAGAGTGTGAGTGGCACAAAATTTGAGGAAGACCATCTTTCCCATTATTCTCCTTGGTCTTGTGGCACCATAGGCTCTTGTATTAATGCCATTGATTCAGAGCCCAAAGACGTAATTGCTAATTCAAATGCTGTGCTAATGGTATGATTTTGCTTGATTGGGGAAAGGGGGGCTTTGGAGGTATGAAAGATAATGTTGATGTCTCAAATTTTAGAGTGAATACTTTTAGCCTTTTATATTCTGGCTCTATAACTTACCTATAAGTAGTAGGGAAATTTTTTTAAACAGAATAAATTTTATGTAACATTTCAATTATTTATCATAGTTTGGTAGTTTAATATAGTTGTTATATACCATTGAGAACTAAAGTTAGTATGCAATTGACAGAAATGACTAATTCTAATCATGTGTCCTTTTAGAACATACTTTATGTTAGCTACAGTAATCACCAGCAGCTTTTTCACTTGTATTTTTTGGTTTACTCAGGACCTGGACAGTGGGGATGTGAAGAGAAGAGTGCATTTATTTGAAACTCAGAGAAGGACAAAAGAAGAAGACCCTATTATTCCCTTTAGTGATGGACCCATTATCTCAAAATGGGGTGCAATTTCCCGATCCTCCCGAACAGGTTACCATACAACAGATCCAGTCCAGGCCACTGCTTCCCAAGGAAGTGCAACTAAGCCCATCAGTGTATCAGGTAATCCATTTTATTAATACCAAAGAATTTTTTTTTCATGTTCTTCTTATTCCTGCCTTACTCCTGTGAGATGGAAGGCATTCCATTTAATAACTGCAATAACATGAGAACTCCACATATTAAACTGAGAATGCAGTGGCTTAAACAGAACCTTTGGCTAGTGGGGAAAAATGTGCAGCCATTTTCCAAATATATATTTTTATATATGTACTGATTTTTAAAATTTCAACAGGCAAAGGTGTATGCCTGTAATCTTAGCACTTGGGGAGGCAGAGGCAGGCAGATCTCTGTGAGTACAAGGCCAGCCTGGTCTACAAAGTGAGTCCAAGACAGCCATGGCTACACAGAGAAACCCTGTCTCAAAAAATAAAAACAAAAATTTCTTTTGTCTTTTTATTTTTTTGAGACAGGGTCTCATTCTATATCCCAGCTGGCCTCAAACTTGTGGCAGTCTTCCTGCCTCAGCCTCCTTAGTGCTGGAGTTACAGATGTGTACCACCATGTCTGTCTTATTTTCTTTTCCTCTGATTGTTTCTTTGTGTTCCCTACAGATTATGTCCCTTATGTCAATGCTGTCGATTCAAGGTGGAGTTCATATGGCAGTGAAGCCACATCATCAGCACACTATATTGAAAGGTAACTCTGCTCTCATTTCCTTAAGCTGCTTTACTCTCAAACTTACATGCATCTTAAAATACTGAAATCACTATCGGTTGTCTATGGAATAAGCCTTGCTAGTTTGAGCTGCGTTAAAAATATCTGAAGCAAATTTTATATTTGGAATAATAACTAAAACAACATTCATTGTTGATAGTTATAAAACATGTAGTTATTAATGCTTTAATTGATTTATATCTCACTTTAACTTCAGTAAACATAATTTTTTTTAAAGGGACAGATTCATTGTTACAGATTTATCTGGCCATAGAAAGCATTCCAGTACTGGAGACCTTTTGAGCATTGAGCTTCAGCAGGTAAGCTCTGTTTATTTATCTTTGATTTTTTTAAAAGTATAATAAAAATTGAAAGCTAAGCATATGTTTTTCTCTCTCTTCTTGGAGGCCAAGAGTAACTCATTACTTCTTCAGAGGGAGGCTAATGCTCTGGCCATGCAGCAGAAGTGGAATTCCCTGGATGAAGGCCGTCACCTTACTTTAAATCTTCTCAGCAAGGAAATTGAACTGAGAAATGGAGAGGTAAGGAAACTGAACCTCTTGGGTTCATGCTCAATGTCTTGGCTTTCTGCAGTTGTGTGTTGGAGTTTATGGTTTCTTAATGCTTTGGTCTAATGAATTATTGATTACGTTTTAAAACTTTGAATAGAAATAAATATATAATCTCAGATTTCTGAACTGATATAGGTAGAAATTTTTAGCTGTATCATTATGGGTTCCATTTTAATTTAAAAGAGGTTCTGCAGGTATAAATTTAATATCTTTTGTTACAGAATGATTATACAGAAGACACAGTAGATACGAAGCCCGATAGAGATATTGAGTTAGAGCTTTCAGCACTTGATACTGATGAACCTGATGGACAAAGTGAACAAATTGAAGTAAGTGCCACAATTAGATAATCAGGTGGCTTTGTTCTGTTGCAAATTTAAACGCATAAAATACTGTCATATTGAAGAATTAACATTTTATTTTTTCAGGAAATCCTAGACATACAACTTGGTATCGGTTCTCAAAACGATCAGTTGCTGAATGGAACAGCAGTGGAAAATGGTCATGCAGTCCAGCATCACCAAAAGGACTCAGTAAAGCAGAAGAGACAGAGTTTAGGTGAAGACCATGTGATTCTGTGAGTGTTAGAGAGACCTTCATAATCAGGGGCCATAGGGTGTAAATACTTAGCTAGATGTAGTGTTAGATTTGCCTTTTTGCTATTAGGGAGAAACCATATCTAATAAAGTAATGATTTGGTCAGTCTGTATTTTTGGAAAGTTGAACTAGTAAAGCAGTTTATTTTAAAACCAAAACTTAACTATTTGTTGGGATGAAAGTTCTCTTGTCTCTAGCATCAGATTATATTTCTTTAGTATGTCCAAACTTGTAGATCACATGATGGAAAATTAAATCCTAGATTAACATAACTATAATTTTAACACTTGGGAGGCATGGATAAATCTGTTCCTTGTTCATTTTAGGCTGTCACAGAGTCCATAGCAAGACCATATCTCAAAAATAAACTCTAAGGGCCTGGAGAGATGGCTTAGGAGTTAAGATCACTTGTTGCTTTTGCCAAGGACCCAGGTTTAGTTCCCAGCACCCACATGGTGGCTCACAATCATCTGTAACTTTTGTTTCAGGGGATCCTATTCCCTCTTGTGACCTCCAAGGACATTGAACACATGTGATACACATAAAAGAAAACCTAGGCTAAATGTTTCTTGTTTTAAAAATAATGATACGGTTTTCTTGGCTATTATATTGCCATTTTGTATAATTTCTGCCAAAGGTTTGCTCCTGGGCTTAAATTTGGTAATTTATATGTCATCAAATCGGTATATGTATCATAAATTTGGAAAATATGACCTTTTTAGTGACTTCTAATACTTGAAAAAGTTATTTAATTTTTATGTTTATGGGTGTTTTACCTGCGTGTATGTCTGTGCACCATGTGCGAGCCTTATGCCCGTGGAGACCAGAGAGCTTTGTATCTCCTGGGATTGGAGTTACAGACAATTGTGAACTGCTATGTGGTGCTGGGAATTGAATCCAGGTCCTCTGGGAAAGCAGCTAGTGCTCTTACCCACCTAGCCATCTATCCCTCATTTAATACATATCTTCATAAAGAAGATAGGCTTTTTCTGTGGGCTTAGAGTTTGAAATAGCATTTAGAGAACATGTATGGTAACGTGTATATATATATATATATATATTTACACTTAAAGTTAATTTACTTTCAATATCATTTATTTTCTCGCAGGGAGGAGCAAAAAACAATTCTACCGGTAACATCTTGCTTTAGCCAGCCACTCCCAGTGTCTATTAGCAGTGCAAGCTGCCTCCCTATCACCACATCTGTCAGTGTTGGCAACCTCATTCTGAAAACTCACGTTATGTCCGAAGATAAAAACGACTTTTTAAAACCTATTGCAAATGGGAAGATGGTTAACAGCTGAAAGGAGGCTCATCTTTCAAATTTGTGACCACACCATGGAAGCATTTACACTAGCTTTTTATATATATAATATATATTATATAATGTATATTTTTTTTAAAAAAAAAAGATATTACTGGGGGCATCCATTTCCTGTGGACTCTTTGATACTTCAAGCCCTCTTGCATTAGCATTATGAAAAAAAAAAAGAAAATTTACTTTACTAGGGTAACGTTCACTTTCCAGAAATTATTGGAATTTGGACAACATTTAACTTAAGCTTCAAGCAGCTTTTTATGAGTTTGTAGCAATCCGGTGCAGTAACTGAGCCATTTCCTATTTTAAATGGCTTCTACAGTAAATTAACAACTCAGTTATTAAACTAGCAGGATCCTACAATGATACATCTAGTGAAAGTAGAGTTAATTAACTAACTTATTTCTATTTTATGTTTCACTGAAAGAAATTTCCATCTCATTCCAGCTGCTTTATTTATCTTTTTCATTGGACTTTGCATGGATTTTTCTTTTTCTTTTGTGCTTTTTTTCCTTTTTTCTTTTTCTTTTTTTTTTTTTCTTTTCTTTTTGAAGAGTGGAGTTAGATGTTCTTACCATAGAGTTTTACAGGGTTATATAATAGCTTTCTTTACTGCATTATATGTAGAAGTGTGGTGCAGTGCTTTTATCTGTAGCATTTAATTTTTTTAGTTTTCCATTTTCAAGAATAGTTTCTGCTTTGTTAATATTTATACACAGGCTACTTGTTGAAGTAATTAATTAAAAATATAACCAAGTGCCTAAGTCTTTCAGCTGATGTACTAGATATTAAATTCTCCTAAGTTATGCAGAATCGTTTTTACAATTTTGATAAATTATGCACTAATGTAATGGCAATTTTTTAAAATGCAGATTTAAGCCTGTACATTATTGAATCTGATGACTTGGCAAAAGAATCAGGTGCTTTCAGCTTTCTTGAGAAAACCCTGTATGTAGCGTTTGCACTGACTAACAAGGTGGTATTGCTGGGTCTTTAATTTAAAGTAATTAATTTGGGTGTTCATTGCATTATTTTAGTTAGGTGTTGTTTATTGTTACTTCATGTTGGGTTTAATTTTCTTTGTTTTCTGACTGTTAGGTTGATAAGACTTTGAACCATGTAGTAGTAGAACATTGGCTAACTTTTACCCATTCTTAAAAACATGAATAATTTTTGCTCTGCCATAATGTGACTGAAATTTTCACTTGGCATCTGAAAGTATGCAGTATGCTCAACCAGCCATGCCCCAGATTTTGTGGGTGGTGTTTTTTTGAAGCTTAAATTTCAGTCAACATTTGAAAACAAAAGCTGGCATTCCTTCCTGGTAGTAATCTTATAGTTTGTCTTTTTGTTCTTTCTCTGTTTCTTTAAGATTAGTTTGACTTTTATTATTTTTTAATTAACTTCTGTGAAGTTGTTTACTCTGAAAATTGTACTGGAATATTTTAAGCCAAGCTGATCTTTCACCAGGTGTACTGTATGTAAGGGCTTCTCCTGCTAGCAAGATGCTTAAACAGGATCATGTTATTGGTCGTCTGAGCTATTTAGTTATTTTACAAAAACCACAGCATTGTATCAGAGAAGATTTTGATAAAAGTTTTGTGCACATTTCCAGGGGTGGGAGGGTTGACATTTCCCTGAAATTTCTTGATTGGAATGAGTAAATACTGGTGTTTGATACCTGTCTTAATGAACATGCTCATAAGGTGACTGATACGTTGTAAATAATACCTGAGAAACAAAGGGGTAGTTTTGATATTCTGGTGTCAGTATGGAAGATCTTACACATTTATTTAATACTTAAGTGTATGAAGATGTTTGTTTGTAGCATAACAGCACAGTAGCCTTGACTTAGTTTCCTTTGGTTAGTACTGTACCTTTTTGCCATGGCCAGTGCTCCCCATCCCTACAAAGACATTTTATTTATTTCACTCTGTAGCCTGAAATGAAGAGGAACAAGAGTTTTAAACCATGTTACATTAACTTATTTCTGACATTATAAATTAGCCTAGGATATTACAGGAACATGATTGTTATAATTTATATCAGAACCTTTCTATAAATATGAGCTTATTACATTTGAAATGCTTCCAATGTACTTCTTTTTTTCTGTTTGTAATTCCAAAAAGGTTATGTAAACCAGTCTGTCTATTTCATGGATATTTAATAGTGAGATCTTCCATGTTGAAGGTAATGTATTTTTTTTTAAGATTTTAAAATTGCTATTTTGTTACAAAATAGAGACCTATTAACAGTTGAGAGCTCCTTATGTGCCCTCAGGGAAAGAACCCTCCGTGCAACAGAACTACACGAACATCTTCAGCACTTTCTGAGGGTGATTATATACTACATAAATTGATCTTGTGTATTTAACCTTATCTTTTTAATTTTAAAATTGAAATTTTGAACGTGGCTGTGCTCTGCTGGAGGGGTTGGGATGCTTAGGTGTTTGCCTACTTGTTCAGTAAACCACATTTCATCAGTGTATGTGTACACCTGCCCACCTTATTGGTGTGTCTCAAACATTTATAGTTAAACAATGCTTGTCTTGCAGCAGATGATCCCATAAAACAGTAACTTACTATTCTCAAATGTTTACTCTTTCTCACTAACAACAGAGGAATTGTTTCTGTGTTGACAAGATTCTATATTGCATCTTTTGTGTGGTGACAACCTCCTGTCTGTTTTGGTGAGTTTAATTTGAAATAAGGCTATTGGATCTCTGCCACTTTAGAAGAAAGAACAAGTCATCTGACCTTTCTTCAAAATGGTACCTATTGATATCATAGAGGAAAATAGTACAAACAGACTTGGAATGTGGCTTTTTTTTAAATTAGGGGCAAACATTACTTTGACCTTTTATCAAAATGACGTTATGATGAACACATTTGGGATCAGAGGCTACAACACAATAGAAGAAAAAATCTGGAATGTTGGTATCTAAACTGCTTGTGTCGCCTGTGGTCTAATGAGAAAAAGGCAGTTGGAAGTCTGAAAAGCAGGAAAATGGTGTGGGTTTCCTTTTTTTTTTTTTTTTTTTTTTTTTTTCTGCCAGTTTTCTGAGTCCAGTTCCTATTCTGAGTGGCATTCAGATGCTGTGAATTATAACATCATTAGTCTTGTGTGGGCTCATTGCATTTTACGAATTCTAAGAGTTCTGTGTTTATTCCTTCAAGTTGGTACCTACACAAATCAGAGTCTCTTGCCTTTGCTACCATGACTTACTTCAGTGCCATGCACCGAGTCAGTGTATGTGGAGACAGTTGTACATTGTAATTTTTCAAGAAAAGGTAGCTCTTTAGGCCAGTGACACTTATTCTCTGCTTCTTTAGGCCAGTGACACTGATTCTCTGCTTTCATAGCTACTTACTCTTATAGTAAGAGAATTAAATGAAACCTCATACAAAAACTAAAATTTCCCATTTGTATGGATCCTAATCACTTTGACCCAGATTTCAAATTGAGGCTAAGTTACAAAGCACATTCTGATTTTATGTACAGAAGATTACAGAATGCAGTAATTTATAGGACTTTTAAGTGGGATCATTTAACCATTTGAAAAATTTGTTTAAAAACTGTCTACCCTATTTCTGAAAATTAGATGTGGTAAAGCCCATGTTGTCTTTTTTAGCCAGGTATAGAACTTGTAACAATCAGATTCAGTGTGTGATCTCAGTTGTGAATCTGAGTATTTCTTCCCTTGCTTCTTTGAGTCGTTTTCTGAGCAGACTGTCACCAATATTGGTAACTAATCATTAAAGAGAAAAGTTGCATTGCAGCTATGTCTTAGTGTCTTAGAACTGTTCTCATGATTTCATAATCAAGAGTACTGATGGGATCACCTACGGTAACCCCTACTACAGAAGAGGCCCTTCTGCAAGCAGAACACAGATGAGCATGCTCAAGGAGCATCCCCTTTTCTACAGATTAAGTTTGCTAGTAACTCCTTTACACTAGCTGTTTCTTTGTATCCCTTTGCTGGCAAGGGAGTACAAGGAGTCAAACCACAGATCAGAACACCCCACATTTGAGTGGAGACTTATTTTTAATTCTAGGGGAATTATGCCCCCAAGTCTGAAACTGGCAATTATTTTTTTTCTCTTACATAAAAATTTAATAAATATCCCCCAAACCAGTGGAAACCAGACACTGGCTGCACTTAGTACTGCCAAAAGCCAAGGTCATTTGCACATATTCCATCAACCTGTCAAGAATTAGGCCTCACTTTATAACCCAAGGCATGGAAGTGCATGCATTCTCTTAGCTGGGCAAACAATTATACTGTAGTTGTGATACAACACATGTGGCTTTTATTTGTACTGCACATACCCACTGTACAGCCACTTGGGAGTATCGTGGTTAGCTTGCAGCAACTGCCGTCTGCATTTATACTGTTTATTGCATATTCTTTTCCCTGGAAGTGAAAGAGAAATGTTTTTTCTTGTTGCATTGATTACATTTTATAAATTTGCTTAGCTGGAAAGTTTGGGAAAAGAGGCCTGTTTGTCAATTGTACAACCGATTGTGAAGTTTAGTGTGAATATTTTTACGTCTGTATTAGACATTTTCTTTGCAAATCTATTGTTCGATTGAAATGTAAATGAAATTAAAGATGGTGTACACCCATCATGTAAAAAGCAGGCACCATCTCTAAGATGGATTTAATGCTCATTTTTAAGGCATATACTCAGCTTCTATTTAAAACTATAAAATAATTCTGTACAATGAAATGGGGAATATATATGGGAATATAAATTCTATTCCATTTATTTCAATTTGAATTTCCAAATTGTAATGTTTCCCTTTGTGCTATAGGAATAGGATTAAATGGGGGAAAGCTAGGATTTATAAGGCCTGTATATGGGGGGGGCAGAGGTGGAACAATGAGGGTTGTGATGGTAGTGAATAGCAAAGAGTGAATTCTGTGTGTTTTTGCTGTAGCACTGAAGTGAAGAGATATTAGCTTTGGCTGTTCACAAAATAGAGCATCATGATTTTCAGTGTTTGAGAGAAAATTGATGGAAAAAGTTTGCAGTACTTGACATGTATTTGCATGCACAAAATAAAATTATTTGTCCACCTTAAAAGTTGTTTGCTTAGTGTCAATGTCAAGTTTATTATATGTTTTAGTTGTCTTGATTTTCCTGATATATCTTAATAAAGCTGGAAGGACACTCCCTAAGTAGGGACTCAATTGATCACCTTAAAGAGGTTGAAATATTTCTTAGTTGTGTCTGACATTTCATTCAGTATAGAGCATTTTCTAAATGGGAGATGGTGTAAAATAGAAAATACTGAACTTACAGATGGGACAGATGCATAAATAGGACAAAGTCATATGTTACGAAAGTTGTTTTGTAGGCTTCAGAAGAAACTCTAAAAGATGGCCTAAATCTCAGCACCATTTTTATTGACCCCATGGTACCTTTATGTATTCACCCAGCTGATAATGTCATAAGTCCCTGTCTGTGCTGGTCTTTAAGACTGTATATAGGTCAATGAAACAAGCCATTTCCCTAGAGCCTCATAGTGTAGAAATGGAAAAAAAAAAAAAAAAACCAGATTGAATAGCTCAGGGAGCTACACACAAAGGGACCGATTGTAGTTGTGTTGAGCAAAGATGAGGTGCTTCTCTTGAGACAACATCTGGCTAGGCTTTTAAATCCTGCATAACTTTTTAAACTAGTAGCAGATTATCTTCCTGACCTACTTCACCTTTGCACTTATTTTGTGTTTTAATTGTTGTATATTTAAGATGTTATATAATTTTCCAAGATCTCATAACCAGAAGGTAATAGAGCCAGACAGTTGTTTTTCTGTCTCTCAAACAGATAATGGTGATGGTAGTTGGATTCATTTTCACCTAAATGGAAAGTGTGATTAAGAAATGGGGCTTTGTGGCAGCACACACCTTTCTTCCCAGCACTCAGGAGAGCAGAGGCAGGTTGATTGCTCTGAATTTAAGGCCACCCTGGTCCACAAGGCTAGTCCAGGACAGCTAAGACTACATAGAGAAAGCTTGTCTCAAAAAACAAACAAAAAGAAATGGGACTGCACTGAGTACTAATATAAACAGCCAATTCTCAGAGCACTTAATATGCTCCAGATAGTGTTTAAGTGTTATAATGTAGATCATCATTCTCATTATTTCCAGAGAAGAAAAGGGATGCAGATACTTTTGAGAATATGCCCAAATTTACACTTCTGGAAGAGATAGATGAACATTGAATAACATACTAAGGAGACTATAAGAGAATCTTGGAAGTTACCTAAGCTGAATGCTTTGAGATTTTAGAAAGGATACTTGGGCAGTGATATAAAAGATGTAACTGGAGATAGACCAGGTCATCACTGTAGGTAAGAAGTGTTAACTCTCTGACCAAGCAGGAGTGAAGGAAGAAATGAGCTTGAAGATTAGGGATGGGGGAGAACAACTAACTGACCAGATTGGCTGTGCAAAAAAAAAAAAGTGCATTAGACATCTCCACATTATTAGGGGACTGAAATTTAAAGATTACAAACCCTGTTTTGTGAGAATAGACATAATTGTTACATGCAGTCTTGAATAAGCCAGAGTAACTTCAGAGAATAAGAAGGAAGAAAAGACATGCAGAGGTAAACTAGGCAGAGGATAGGAGTTATTTCAGGGGTAGAGTCTTCTGTAGCCCAGGTTGGCCTCAAACTTAGAATCCTACTGAGTGTTGAGATCATAGGTGTACACCTTTACATCCAGCAAGAAAAGGAAGCATTCATGAAAGAAATGAAATTTCAGAGAGATTTATGGCTAATACCTGTTGAAATAATTTCATGCTTGGCTCGGGGGTAGGGGGATGGCGCACACCTTTTATCCCAGCACTTGGGAAGCAGAGGCAGGTGGACCTCCGAGTTTGAGGCCAATCTGGTCTACAGACAGGACAGTCAGAATTACACAGAAAAACCTTGTCTCAAGACACAGGAAAACCAAAACAGCAAAATGCAGAATAGCTTGGATTACCCATATGACCAGGTCTTTTCTCAAAATCCAACCTCAGTTATTGTCAGATGGACAGTAATAAAAGGTGTAGTTTAAGATAGATATCTAAGAGAATGGAGTATTTTTTTATCTGTATTTTGAAATAGTTATAGATTCATAGGAAGTTACAGAAAGTACAGACATTACCATGTACCCTTAACATAGTTTGTCCCATGATATTATCTTGCATAACTAGTACAGTATCAGAACCAGAAAAACTGACATCATATGCAATCCATAGATCTTATTTACACTTCAGTTTCACATCTGTTCACCTGTGTATGCCCACCCACGCAGTGTGGTATATAGATGGTTCTTATGCAATTTTTTCAAGTGTAAGTTTGCAGAAAGGCCATTGCTATGATAGATAACATCTGTTTCCTCTCATTCATTCTTTTAGGCCTTTAGATTCACATTGTTTTTCTTCCCATATTCTCTGAACCCTGTTCTTCATCTTTGTAATTTTTTCTTGGTGACAATGTTATATAAATGATATTATACCATATGTAACCTTTTGAAATTGGCTTTTCCCCCCAATTCAGCACAAGTACCTTGAACGCTCTCCAAGTTGTTGCATGTATTAATAGCGTGTTCCTTTATATTGCTGAGTAGTATACTATGGTATAAATATACCATGGTTTGTTTACCCATCATCCATTAAAAGGCATTTGAGTTGTTTCGATTTTTTTTTTTACTATTACAAATAAAGCTGCTACAAACATTTGTATAAGTACTTTTGTGTGGATATAGTTTTATTTCAGAAATATTGAGCAAATAAGCTTGTATTGTTTGTCTACCTCTGAAAAGGATCATTTATACTATGAAGCTCAACTTAGATGAATTCCTTAAAAATTTAATTTGCCAGGGCTGCTAAGGTGGTTCAGTAGGTAGAGCACAGGCTGCTCTCTGGAGGACCTGGGTTCAATTTCCAGCCCCCACATAACAGCTCACAACAATCTTCACTCCAGTCCCAGGGAGTCTGGTAGTCTTCTGGCTGCCATAGGCATCAGACACTCAACAGTGCAAAGATAAACATGCAGGCAAAACACCTATACACATAAAAAATAAAATTTTAGAAAATTGAGTTTGTAAAAAATGGATACATGAGGATAAAGAAAGTTAGCATTTCCCTGCATTAGTTTTTTTTTTTTTTTTTTTTTTTTAATCACAGAAATTATCCCCCAAATAGCAGTGTAACACAACAGCACTTAATATCTCACAGATTCTCTAGGTCAGGGTGAATGTGACTTAAATGGGTCCTCTTGAGTCTTTTCAGAACTGCAGTCTAGAAGTTAGTTGGCACTGCCATCATCTCACTGCTCCAGTATGGGAGGATAAGCTTCTAAGTTCGTGCCTATGATGGTTGGCAGGATCTCTGTCCTTATGAACTTTGGAATGAAGGCCTTGTTGCTGCCTCTTATTTGGAGCCCAGTTTGTCAGTTCTTTGCCAGATGTGCCTCTGTAGGAATCTCATGGTAGGAAATTGGATGAGCTTGGCTCATCTAAGTGGCGAGAAAAGGAAGAGCTGAAAAGTTGGTCTTAAACCCTTGTCTTGGAAGTGGCATTGCATTACTTTTGTGATATTTTAGTCCTCTAGAAGCAAGGCCCTAGATCAAGTCCACACTTGAGGCAAGATTTATGCAACAACATGAATCCCAGAGACAGGTTTTTGTCTTGTGTTTTGGCAGCTGGATTTTTTTAGCTCCCTTCCCTCCCTCCCCCTCCCTCCCTCGCTCCCTCCCTCCCTTTCTCTCTCTCCTTCCTTTCCTTCCTTTCTTTCTTTTTTGGTTTTTCAAGACAGGGTTTCTCTGTGTAGCTCTGGCTGTCCTGAAACTCTGTAGACCAGGCTGGCCTCAAACTCAGAGACTGGCCTGCCTCTGCCTCCCAAGTGCTATGATTAAAGGTATGCAACACCACTGCCTGGAAAAAGGCTACTTTTCAAGGCTGGGTTTCAGACCTCATTGGAGAACCTATACTCAGCCTATTAAGTAAAATACTGCTGGTTTGTTCAGGCCCAAAATAGTTGTTAGCCACCAGAAGACCATTCTCAAGGCCAAAGGTGAAGTACACAGCTAGCAGAAGAAATTGGCAGCAAGGTTCTCAGCAGGCTACACACGTTTGCTTGCTCTTGTGGGCCTGCACCAGGGAACTGAACCCCGGTCTTTCGGAAGAACATTATAGTGCTCCTAAGCTGAGCCATCTCATCAGCTCCTTTCCAAAAAGTTCTTCTCCACTTCCTCCACCCACTTTAGCAGAGATTGCAGCTTACACATGTTCTTGAAGCTAAGCTACAGTCTTCCAAGCAGCAGATGTTCTTCTCAGTTAACATCTTTCTAATGAGACCATCCAGGATGAGCCCCAGGTCCTCTCTACTCCAGCTACTGCCCAGCCCTCAGGCTGGAGGTCTCCAGCAGGCATACAGCACTAGGCTCACTACAACCTGAGGTCCACAGTATGTCATCCTTCCATAGAATTCACATCGCATGGGGTAGCAGTGGGACTAGGGTGGCAAGGGGAGTAACTGCATTTGTGAGCCTGGCCCAACCTCTAGCCCGATCCTGGGACTTTGGAAACCGGTCCAACGGTCCATTCAGCCCTCCTGATCTGTCACTGCCATCACCCAATTAGAGCAAACAGGTGAAATTCTAAAGTGTCCAGCCATGGGGAAGGCAGGTAACTGAAGCCATACCTGATAGAAGGGGTCCTATTTTAAAAACTTGTAAATCTAAAATCATCTGAAAGAAATAAAAAAATAAATAAAAATGAGGTGTAAGCAACTTCTTTTCAATGAAGTCATGGTAAATCTTCTTTGTCAGTTTGACTGAACCTACAAGCACTCAGGAAACTGAAGTACATCTCTTGGTCAATCTGGGAGGCTTTCTCCAGAGAGCATTAACTGAAACGAAAGACATGCTCTGAACAGAGTGCCACCATCCCATGGGCTAAGGCCCAGATGGAGCACAAAGTGCTGGAATACAAAATACAAAGAGAATCATTCGAGTGCTGACTTTTCTATTTCCTTGAACATCAGATGACCAGATGTGCCCTGATGTGATGGCCAGGACCTTCTGAAACTGAACCAAAACAGTTCCTCTCCCTAAATTACTTCTAGTAGGTATTTTGATCACAGTAACAGAAACTAATAAAAATGTGTAAGGAGAGAGGCTGGAGAGATGGCATACATCTGAGCTTGTAGCAGACCCAGATTTGGTTTCCAGCACTCATATTAGACCGCTCACAACTGCTTCTAACTCCAGCTCCAGGAGATCGGGCACTATCAGCACTACACTGACATGCACGAATCCATATTCAGACATGTGCATTCATAACACTATTACATTCACATTTATTTTCTGTTTCCCTTCTGGGTTTTGTCTTTTGTGTTAGCTGCTTTCTTTCATATAAATTCTCTTATGCTTTTAAGTTGCCCTTTTCAAATAATTACGACAACCAGCCTTTCTGGCTTTGTTACCTAACCTCACAATCATCTAAAAATTTTTTTACCTAAGTAGTCTCCATCCACTGATTGTGGCCTGGACCTATTGGCTCACTCTCCCAACCCCATTGCTCAAACAACCCAGGCAAATAGTAGTAGATTGCAAGGCTGGATTATAAAAGCATGGCTCTCGTCTTAGTTTTTCATTCTAATTTTAATTATGTGTATAAGTGTATGCCTAAGTGTGGGTTTGTGAGTGTTGAATGCAGTGCCTATGGGCCCAGAAGAGGGCATCAGATCCCATGGAGCTGGAATTATAGGCAACTGTAAGTTTAGTAACATGGTCCTGGGAATATAATTCAGGTTCTTTTAAGTATGTGCTCTTAAAATCTCTGTGCTACATGTCCAGTGCCTCCATTCTTAGTTTTGGGCTCTCTTCTTCATAAATGGTTAAAAAAAACTGTGTGTGTGTATGTGTGTGTGTGTGTGTTCGTGTGTGTGTTCATCCTGGGGCACAGCATATTTAGAGGCAAAGAAACAGGTCACCAAGAAACTCAGTGGACTTGGTGAAAATGGGAGAAAGTAGTGTTTAGAAAACCAGAGAACGAGGCTACAGAAATGGCTTAGTGGTTAAGAGCACTGGCTGCTCTTAAGAGAACCTGGATTTGGTTACCAGTGCCCACATAACAGCTTTCAATTGTATATAATTCCAGTTCCAGGAGATATGACAGTGTTCTGGCCTCCACAAGCACTGAACACATGTGGTATACTTATGTAAATGTAGGCAAATCATTTAGATAAAAATGAAATAAATTTCTACAACAACAACAAAAAGAAAACCAGAGAAGGATCTACAAGAGGAAAAGTGATGACTTGTCAAAGGTTGCCTAGTGAAATCTGTGGTTCTTGTGATGAGCATAGCTTCAGTGGACTAGTGGGAATAAGCCTTAACTGTGTGTGTGTGTGTGTGTGTGTGTGTGTGTGTGTGGCAAATAAGAAATGGAAGAAGGGATATCTAGAACTTTTGGGGTTTCATAAGAAGAGTAAGAAAACAGATCTGGTCAGAGGGATGGAGAGGGATGAATTTTAATGTGAGTATCTGATATGCAGCCCCTATGAAAGGATCATTTGATCCCCAAAGGGGTTGTGACCTATAGGTTGATGACCACTGCTCTAAACTGTAAGCTAGCCTCCAATTAAATGCTGCTTTTTGTAAGAGTTGCCTTGGTCATGGTGTCTCTTCAGCAATAGAACAATAACCAAGACATTATTATTATTGTTATTATTATTAGTAGTAGTAGTAGTAATGAAATAATTTTATGGTTGGGGTCACCACAGCATAACTGTATTAAAGAGTCACAGCAGTAGGAAGGTTGAGAACTCTGATTTAGGGGCTTATTCCTCACATGACTTCACTGGCTTCTGAGAAAGACAATAGCTCATGCCTATTAGATGATTAAAAATTACATATAAAGACTGTAAAAAAGTGTCCCTTCTATTTCTGATTCTCATTTGCTCTGCAAAGGTAACTTTTACTTCTTATATATTTGCCACTGGTTTCTATCTTTGTCTTTATGTGTATGTATATAATAAATGTTGTTTGCATGTTTTTTAATTTAGAAATTGGGCTGATATATATGGATCTATTTATTTTATAATTTTGAGGTAGGGTCTCTTTTGCCCTACTTGGTCTTGGGTATCAGTGACTCTTCTGTTTCAACATCCTGAGTGCTGGAACTTCTGCAGACATGGGTCTCCACACTTCTTATTAATTACTTATTAATAAAATAATAACTCCATCATTAAATGTAACAATATTTACCTGCAACCCTATCTATAGGATGAACCTCCGTAAGTGGAATGATTAGGCTAAAAGATATACATTTTTGTAAAATTGATAGCTATTCCTCAATTTTAGACTTTTAATAATCAGAGAGGTAAAAAAACAGTGTCATATATATTTAAATTTTACCTATTTATTTTGTGTATATGAGTGCTTTGATTTCACAAACACCAGAAGAGGGAATCAGATTCCATTACAGATCACTGTGGTTGCTGGGAATTGAACTCGGGACTTCTAGAAGAATGGCCATTCCTCTTAACCACTGAGCCATCTCTCCAGCCCCCACTGTCTTATATCTTTTAAGAATGAGAAAGTTGGGGCTGGAGGGATTGTACTCGATGCTTTTCCAGAGGACACAAATTCAATTCCCAGCACTCACATGGCAGCTCACAACTGTACCTTCAGTTCCAGGGGATCTGGCACC